AAGTGAATGAAATGAGTCACATCGATCATATGAATCCAATGGGATTGTGTGAGTCATATATGTATGGTGTGTATGAATCATAGATACGTTTCATATGTATGTGTTGTATATATGAGTCATACCCACGGTCTGATATCCTACAGACTAGAAATAGTCTGTCATCCATCCAATGTTGTGAAAATAGTCCAGTCCCTAACAGAAATTTGAACAGTCTGTCCTTCATCTGTTTCACCTACTACTACTTCCCATGTGTCAATTTATTGCCTAGTAGTACCAGAATTGACTTTCAAGCTACCACCACTTAACTATTTCTACCATAAATCTACTTTATTTCTAACTCAAAGCTCCTACTTTAAAGTAGCTTTAAATTAGCTCCCCATATGTACACTGCTAGATATTACTTATCATAGTAATTAGTAAAATCCTGACAACATGAGACAAATAGTAGTACTAGTAAGATAAAATACTATAACCTAAAACTACCACTTGCACACCTCTAGAATTCATTTTCTTCTTGACAAACAAAGACAAGGTTCTCTATGGTACTAATAGTTAGTACTAGTAGCACTGTGCATTTCTTGCTGTAGTGACGAGCTTTCTTGTTCTTCCTGCTTCTTCTTGTCTTCTTTGGCAAATTCAAAATTCTGGTAGGCTATGTCTGTAGAAGTTTCAGTGCATCCTTGGTAATGGTTGTCCATCTTCTTGTAGCTGCACCACATGCTTGAAATCTGCCTTTTGTTTCTATTGGCTACTACCACTAATGCTAGTAGTACTAATACTAGTACTGGGACCCAGCACCACAACCCCTCTTGTGTCTGTGACTTCTTGCCTTGTCATTCTTCTAGAAAACAACAAGATGATGACATAATTGGGTACTAGTACTTCTAGTAGTGACTATGTATGATTAATTATCTTTCATATATTTTTCAAAACGATTTTTTTCAAATGCACAAAATTACACTTCGCTTATGAAAATTATCACCTAGAATTCCTACTGATTCCTACGCAGTTCCTACTTGACTAGCACCTTCTGGCATCCAAACATCATGGTGACATCCCCTTCCAACGGGGAAAATCCACCTCCTTGGATCCATTCAAGAAGCAACCAAGCATTGTAACCAAGACTATTCCAAGTATATCGACCTCCCCCAGCTGCCTCCTGCAGTTTTCCCCAGCTGGATCCATCCATTCCCTGTCCCTCTGGAAGCACTGAGTGGTAGTATCTTCCGGTGTTCTTGAAGTTGGTTCTGGCATTTGTGCCAGAGAGCACCAACAACAACCCCAGCCCCAGCATTCAACCAAGACCTAGTGAAGAACAAATCCTGGAGTATATGCTACATCACACTCAGTTTTAAAGAAGATTCCCCGGCATCTCCTCCATGCAGTTCCTACAGTATTCCAGTTTTATTTAAGGACCGGAAACGTTTTCTGGTTGCGTTGTTGTTGTTTCCAACATTCGTGCCGGCAAGCACCAACAACATCCCCA